TCCCTAAAGAGGCTCTCCTGGAAGAATAACCCACAAGTGAATTTCTGCTACTTCCCTTTTGCTGTGGGCTGGACCCCCAGAAGACTTTTCCAAGGGATTACCAGATTCCTGGATAGTGAATCCAAACCTACAGGCAGTTGGTTGGGCTGTTCTGAGCCATGTCTTGTCCTGCCAGGGTTTCTGGGCCACAGGCTAACACCCACTGGCTTAAACCACAGCACGGAGGGGAACCAACTGCCTGGAAGTGGCTTTTCCAGAGCTGTGCTAGGGGCGTGTGCTCTCTGTTGGCGTTTGAGCTCAGTTCCTGTCATTCCTCCTGATGCTATTAGTGTATGTTAATAGCAGTGCTCTATTAAACATTGTATCTAAAATGTATAAATTAAGGTTGCAATAGAAGTCTTCAACTGCAGGCAGAGTGAAGAATTGAAGTATTGTAATCATAGGGCTGCAATTATGTAACTGGATTCTCTTTCTCTCTGGATAGCAGGCTCCTTTAATTGCTGTAACAAAGCTACTCCTTCAGTTTTCTGGGACTGTTCCAGGAAGCGATCATTGCAGCAGATTTTCTTCACTCCCCAGTAGAGCTAAAAATGTGTAGTTTCACTATTTCAAAACATGCTTGGTAGTATCACTCAAGACTTGCAGCACTGTAAAAGGACTTAGGAAACTTAATGGTGCTCTGCAGGCTTAATTGGAGGCGCTCCTTGCCATTAAGAAGCTTATTCCCACAAAGTTTTAATATGCTCTGGTAAGAGCTGCTGCCAAGGTGAGCAGCTGTGGTCCTTCTCAGTGCAGACCTTTGCTTGACCGGTCCCCCAGATAATGTGTGCCTCCTGACCAGGCCTTGCATGCAGCTTGGGAGCGAGGGGTCTGGTGCCCAGATGGGTGTTGGAGTGTGCCAGCCAGCAGCAAGACTGCACGGGGCGCCTTCCCCAGGGCATGTGTCATGGCCTTTGCTTGAAGAAAAGGGCTGGGATTGCCAAATCCCCATTTTTCTAGGCTAACATGAACTGCACTGGGAATTTCCCAATGCTGAACACCTTCTCTGGAAAGGCCACAACAGATCTATGTGTAAATGGCTTCAGTGACTGGTATGAAGCACCTGAACTAACTTAGAGAGTGAACGGGGCTAAATGCTCAGCTCCAGCATACCACCTTCTAGTTTCTTAAAGGTGATGGGCAGCACTAGCATGCTGGTTTCTAGCATCTGTGTTGTGGTTCACAGGCAGGGGGAGGAAAAGGAGGCTGCTTTGCCAGGCCTTAGCTGTGCTAGCTCTGCTGTGGGGCTTGCTTGCCCCCTGCCCCTGTTTCTAGGCTGCAGCATGGTGTTAGCCTGTTTCTGGCTCGTCAGACTGGTTTTGTCTCATGGGAACAGCTGAAGTCTGGGTTTCAGCAGCAAAGCAGTGGTGAGGTGAGGGGGTGATGATAGGCTGGATGTGGAACAATGCTCCTAAACTGGCAGCAGTAATTGTAACTCCTGGCATGGGGTGGAATAAAAAGTGCTGCTGCTGTTAACATGCTTCCTGAGCCTCCCTGCCGGAGACAGGCAGTCTGGGATCCATCGCTTGCGAGGCTCTGAACAGATGATGCTCCAAACCACTGGTGCACCTGGAAGGCAAACTTGGCTGGAGCCTATTGATGTATAGGGCTGTAGCTCTCTGCAGATCCTGTCTCCTCCCACAGAGTAAGGTTTTTCTGCATGTGTTTAATGCAGGTGCTGATGTTGGGCTATCTCTGATCTAACCTCCAGACAGTGCTGGTGCTACAGTGCTCCAGCTATAAGGGGCACCTTAGCTTGGGACTACTGTAGGCTACCCTGGTAAACTCACCCTGGGCCTAACAGGGGGTTCGTAGTATTGGCTTGTGACGCAGCCTGCTGTAGAAAGGACAACCTCTGATGTACAGGAAGCTTCTTCTTTCTTGGGAAGGGATTAAAGGAATCTATGTTCTGCCTTAGGTTCACGATGTCTGACAGAAAGGCTGTGATCAAGAATGCGGACATGTCCGAGGACATGCAGCAGGATGCTGTAGACTGTGCTACACAGGCAATGGAGAAGTACAACATAGAAAAGGACATTGCAGCATATATAAAGAAGGTAACTAAGGGATGAGGGGGCTGCTCTGACTGAGACTTCCTGAAGCTCTTAAGCATGTGTGGCTGTCATGAGCTTGAGTGTCTGTCTGAGACTTCATACTTGCATGTTTGGAGGGAGAAGATGCTTTGTTCTTTGCTTCTTTACTGCTGTTCCCAAGAGGATGGAGTGACTTCTCCAAGGTCAGAGGAGGGCTATGGCAGAGCAAGGCCTGGTCTGTTGCTCTGGCAAGCTCTGAGCAAAGAGTGAGTGCTGTCCCTCTGGATTTGCCAGCCTAAAAAGAGCTGGCTGCAGTCTCTCCTTAGGACTTGCTCCACAGATGCTGCTGCTTGACTTGCAGTACCAGCGCAGGGTGGGATTACTCCGTTTCACTCCAAGTGGGCAGGGCAGCTGTGCACGTGCGGTTCTGTCTGCCATGCTGCTGGCTCTGGGGTGGGTGGTGTGGAGGAGGATGGGGCCTTGTGCTGGCTGGCAGGGTTGTGAAAGGTGCTGCTTTAAAAACAGTGCAGGCAGCTGCCCTGGCTTGTGAAGGGGTGTCTCCCCATTTGCAGGAGCCCATTAACTTGATTCTCGTGCTTGATGGCATCTGGGGAGTTGTCAGTTCCCTCTGTAGCCACTTCTCCGAATGGTTGGGCAAAGTACTTTTGAAGGAGGAGAGTGTGACTTCATAGGCACTGCGGCCCTGGCACCGGGGCTAGCTTTTGGGCCTTGCTTGTAATCCAAGCTTGACTGTAAAGGATTCGAAGGTGTCTCCTAATGTCTCAGATCGCTTTGATTGGAGGCAAGACTTACCTCAAAGTGCTTGGGGCAATGCAGCCTGTAAAGTGAGTGCAACAGAAGGCATCCAAAAAGAAGTTGGTCTTTATTTCCTGAGAGTGTGTTGGGAGGAGGGAAGCAATCTGATGCACCTTCATGCCCTGGCAAGAAAGCTTTTCCTTACTTCAAAGGTTACCTGCAAAGAGCTCAAACTGTCTTGCTGCTGTCTGAGAACTAACACTTGCTTTAATTGTGAATGTGGAGTCTGTTCTTCTGGCTCTGTCTCAGGAGAGGGAAGGGTGTTCCTGGGAGTTGTGTATTAATTAGAGGGAGGAAAATGGTCTTTAACCCTATCTTACCTGCTGAGTAGGAGAAGACTATTAAGCCAGCCTTTAGCTTGCTTGCCTCTGACCTCTTAGGTCTTCATGTGCTGTCTGGCCTGTGAATTTGCCTGCTCGTTTTCAATGCAGATTTTCTCCCCTTTATATGAAGAAGAGTCCCAAACAGCAGAAGCCAGGCTTCTCCTTCCTTTTTTTAGGTGACCTTTAAGCTCAAATGCCTTGCTGGAGCAGACGTGCCAAAATCTTTTTTTATTTTTTGTGAGTGGGCTTGGAATGGGAGAGGAGAAATATTCCCCTGAGCTAGCCTACACGCAGGGCTTGAATAGCACTGTACTAAGGAGAGCTCTTAGGTCTGCTCTTTCTGCCCAGGGCTGATGGGTGCTCTAAGTCTCGGGAGATGATTTGCTTGTGTTGGATCCTTCAAACAATCCAGCGCAGAGGTCTGGTTGTGTCAGTCACTACCTCGCTTGATATAATAGTGTCTTGCAGTGGGGAATCTAAAGATGCTGCAGGTGGGAGGAGAGGCGATAGTGTGTGAACAGAACCAGCTAAGAATTTGTGCTTAGAACTATTTTCATGTGGGCTTTCTTGGCCTTAATGCCTCTCTTCTCTTTCTTCAGGAATTTGACAAGAAATACAACCCAACTTGGCACTGCATTGTTGGCAGAAACTTTGGCAGCTATGTAACACACGAGACAAAGCACTTCATCTATTTTTACTTGGGTCAGGTTGCAATTCTTCTCTTCAAGTCTGGATAGGAAGTAGGAGCAAGTGAAATTTGGACTGTAATGCACTGATGGCTGAAGCCACGACTCCCTTTAACATGGCTATGCCGCTGCATGGACTGTATACTATATTTAATGTGTATATGTTGCAGTAAGAATTTACTTCTGTTTAGTTGCCTGGGAAGAAGGCAGCGTTTTTTTTGTTATTGCTTTTTTTGGTTGTATTGCACTAGGAAACCTGTAAATGCTTAAACAATGGCCTTTACGTGGGAAGAAATAAAACTATTCCACAACAGCTCCCTCAGTGGTAACTCCTTCTTTGAGGCTGGGAAAACTTCTTTGGGCAGGCCAAAAGACCCTGACTTCCTTACTGAGTTTTATTAGACTGTTAATCTTGTAACGAGGAGCAAAGCCAGTGTGAGCCTCTGTCCCCACCCTGCAGACTGTAGAGAGCTGGCTCTCCCAGTAACCTCAGTGCAGGTACTTAGACCTTCCCTGAAAGCTGCTGGGGTGGCTCTTGATTACATGGCTTTCACACACAAGTTGAACTCCACCTTGGACTGTGATAAACAGACTTGCAGCTGGCACCCTTGGTGTTCTCTTTCAGTGCCCATCACTGTATTTTTGGCTCTGCTGAAACATTGACCTAGACTTGTAAGTGACTCAGCCTGGTCTAGAAGACTTCAACAAACATCCCCCTGAGTTGCTGCTTGCTGCAGAAAGCAGCATCCTGTGGCTGAAGTCTTTAGACCTTGATCCTGAGATCTAAAGCCACGTAGCCCATCCCTGAAACGGAGTAGGATATCCAATTGGTGACTACTGACAACAGCTCTATTTGGCATGTTCTTAGCCAGTTGTCTCAACACTGCCTTAACTTGATACTCTCCTTAAAGCAAGCTAGTCATGTGGAAGACTTGTAAGTGGCCACTGTCTCCTTTTTTTATTTTCTGTAGCTGATAAGCTATTTCTGGAGGCCTGTCCTCCATGTTCTGATATCTGCTTTTGTTCTTAAAGCACAGTACCAAGAAGTTAAATTTACATGTGATGTTTGTGTGAAGGAAACTCATGTGACATCTGCTTCAAAGGCAGACAAATGTCTTGGTCTCCAATAGGTTCAGCAATGATGTTGTCTTCGTATGTACTGACTCTTGGATTACACTGCAGGAAGTTCTTTTTATCTGGGTGTGGAGAAATGCTGTGTGGTGGCAAGTAAATATCTGGTGCTTGTCATAAGGCCTATTTATTGGTTTGCTAACTAATGCATAGACAGAATCACGGGCTGGTGAGCCGAACTTGTCTCTGAGATGAATTTGGTGTTGGTAATAAGTCACTGCTGGGGGAGAAAGGGCAGAGTGAAGGGAGCTCTTCATTGTGAAATGACTTGATGACCCAGGTTGACTACTTCCTGAAGTAAAAGTCCTTCTTGTCTCTGTGCAAAATCCAAAGTATGCCTAATTTTGTAATATTGATAGAACAATGTTGTAACTAGAAAGAATGTAGCTGTCATAACTTCATGTTGATGGAAATGTCTGCGCTGGGGTAATGTGCCTCGGACTGTCCGGGGCACTCTTGTGGTCTTGTCTATTCAGAACTCCACTCTGGATCTGAAAGGAGAATGTTTTGGGTTTGTTTTTTTCCAAGCATGAGTCTAATGTGAACCTGTTCACAGTCTATCGTGGAGCAAGATCTGTTCCCTTCATAACTGCAATGGCTCAAATACCATTTATTTTTTTCAAACATTAAAAGTGAATTGACACATTTAAACAGCCTCTAGTTTCTTCTTCATTGCCGGCTGTCCCAAGCAAAAGCTGCAGTTGTCCAGAGAGGGTGAGCAGCGAGTTCTCTGCCCTGGAAGATGCTGATGACCCAAAGGAGACAGGTCTGCAGAGGGAGGAACTCGACCTGAAGAGCATATGTGGCCCATCTGTGCCGGTGCTGACCTCCAGCCTGGCTCAAACCCTGCCAGAAGAAGAGATCGAGGGGAGCGTGTCCCAAAAATGGGATGATTTTGTGCCAAGTAACCTAGATGTGAAGGTGCTGGGGCTAACCTCTTAATGCCTTCAGACAAACCGGGGGTGGTAGAGCAGCTGGGGTCCTGGCTCCTGTACACACTCCGAGGTGTCTCCCTGCTTTGCAGGAAAGTAGGTTTCCCCTTCAGGCTTCCTCCCTGTGCTCGGTAGAAGGGCGAGATCTGAAACTCTTGCCAGTTGCCTGAAGCTGGTGTGTGTTTAGTGCCTCTCGCGCTGCAGGGACTGTGGGCTTGCCCTTAAACAACCCCCCTCAGCTTGCTATCTTGCTCCTGATGCAACCTAAATTTGGGGTTGTGGCCTGCCTGATATTTTGGAAAAGCTGTGGGCGCTTAACTACAGCAGTGTAACAGCTATGCTGTGGGACAGTAAGACCAGCATGAGACACAAGGGGAAGCTGAGCTGCAGACAAACGTGGCTCGTGCTAAGCAGCTATAAAGTGAGCAGAACCCAAAACTTGCAAGCAGCAGTATGGCTGTTACATGGGATCTGCTATAACCCATACCTGGCAGTGCTGAAAAGCAGAGGTGGTTTCTGTTTTGGGGGGAGCTGGGAGTGATGCTCTTCCCTCAGTTGTCCCAGCCAACCCTTTAGCTGGAAGTGTAGTTACAGGGCTTAAGCTCCAGCTGTGCTGCGCTGGGGCTCTGCGCTCTGGCCTGGGTAGGTCTGGATTAACACTGCGGCTCCAAGAAAACATTTGCAGCCTTATGGGGCTGGGGCAGCCAGGCCCCCTTGGTGCACAGGGCTCTCGGTCAAAGCAAGTGGCAGAGAAATCGGCTCCTGAATGCCAGCTGCAGCGCAGGAGGCTGCCGATCCAAACCTGAGGTGAAAAACTTTCCCAGCCTGAGTCCCGTCTGTGGGAAAGCCCCCCTTCCAGCCACGTATCCAGTGGCTGTGGTGCTGGTGTAAATCGGTCCCTGGCGGGATGTGGAGGCCCTGCCAGGGCTGGAGGGACGGCATGCCCCGGAGCTGAGGCATGCAAGTAGAAAGTGGGTTTGTTACTGATGTGTCACTGCAGCAGGAGTCCTGCTTCAGGCCAAGGAAAAGAAGCTCTAGCTGTCACCTTTAGCAATTAGGCAGTGAAACTGAGCCCTGCTCACCTCCCCGTAACCCCTGCAATGGACACCGGTACTGTGCGTCCTCAGCCTTCCCCCTAAACCATCTTTTACGTAGCACTGGGGCTCTGGAAGATACAAACTGCCTAAAGTTAAGCAGCACTTCCCTCTACACAGCTGAGAGGAGAGCGAGGCTTTAACATGGAGCTTTCTGTCCCTGCTGCCTTCCCCTCCTGCTCCCCAGCAGCTGTCTGACACAGCTTTTGGCTTTGACTTTTTCCATTGCTGGGCTCCACTTTGTCTCCAGTTTCCACCAGGCGCAGGTGTCCTGCATGATGCCTCAGAGCGTTAACTGCTTCTGTGCTGGAGAGGCCAACAGCGTCCCCAGGACGGCCGCTCAGTTTCAACAGGGGCACGAAGCTATTCGGAAACATCCGGATCTGGGGCACTGAGTGGAAGGTATGTATCTGGGAGAAACAGCTGGAGGAAAAAAAAACGCTTCCAGATGTGTTTGGGCAAAAATGCTATTTAAACTCAGTATACGTTACTGTCCTGCCTTACAAGCCTTCAGCAAACGTCTGATTGCAGGGGAGTCTGAGGTGCTGGCTGCTGCGTGCAGGTGGAGGTCTGGGTGCAGGACAGCGCCCGCAGATGTGTGTGTGCGTTCGCTGTGGGTAAGGGCGCGGTTTGTGGTTGGGGAGAGTGTCACATTATTTTCTCTTGTACAAGCCACGTTATTCAATTCCTCATGCCGAGTATTTCTTCCAGATGTGGCCTTAAAAAAGCAAAGCTTTGCGGCACTGAAGAGCAGCCAGGCTGGTTTTTGGTAGCTGTGCTCCATGTGTGTAACCAGTAGACATTATCTAGAATTCATTCTTCTGCGGAGGGAACGTGGTGTAGAGCCGCAGGAGAAGGTGTGTCGCTCCGTTAGAGCTAGCCTTGCTCCCTGCCTGCCTGGCACAGTGTTCTTCCCCCTTCTCTGTGACCACCTGGGACTCTGGGAAGGCACAAAGTGACAGCGACGTCCTCCCCACCCTGGGCATCCTGCACAGGGACCGGGCGTTGCGCCCTGCTCCCGTGGGAACACCCAGGCTGCAGGTCAGTGCTCTCCTTCCCTCGCATCCAGCAAAGGCAGCCTGCGGTGCTGCCATTGCAGCATTAATCTTCCCCAGCCACGTGGAAGCAGAGCCTGTCGCTGGTAAACCCAGTACCCAACGGACGTGTTCCTTCTCACAGTGCTTTTGCGGGAGATTTGAGATGAAGAGAGAAAATGTGGAAATCGTTTTTATCTCACTTTCTGTCTCTGACGGGTAAATCCTTAGGAGGCCGGTGCCACACAGTGAAGGAAGCAGGGCTGTGCCATCCCTGCCCACCCGAGGTTTCCCTGCTTTGTTCTATTTATTGAGCAACGCTTCTGACACCCTTTCCCAGACTGTGACTCATAGCAGCGCTGTCTGTGCATAAGCCATGCGTCTCGGCGCGCTTTATAGATACAGGAGCTGCAGGAGCCTCACAGGAGCCAACTGTGTTTATTAAAAGATGATCAGATGTTTCCTCCCTTAAGGCAGTGTCTAGCTGAGACTGAGTAATAACTCATTACCAATGAGACAAATAACTGCTTATCATCAGGTCAGCACCTTCACCAGCCCTTCTGTTAGCGACGGCAGGCGCCATGCTTCTCCTCCACTGAGCACCCATGGTCTCAGCACCCAGCACAGGGGGGTAAGAAGGGAGCTGCCCTGCCAGACCCTGCTCCAGTCCCCGTCCCTTCCCCTGCTGGCAGCCTAAGCAGGGACAACCCAGGGGGTCAATCCCAGGCTCTGCTCCACTGCTCAGCAGGGTTTGGCCCTGGGCTAAGCTCGAGGAACGGTTTTATCCAGCCCTGGTGTAGCTTGTTTCTTCCTGCTTGTGGAAGCAGGCTGCTGTAGTGGCCTCACAATCCACGTCTTTCTGTCCTAGTGCTGGGGATTCAGAGCAAGTGCACCAGAGCTTGCCATGGCCTGGTGGAAAAATCAATGGTGGGCCAGCGCAGTGTGCTGCAGCGGCACCGCGGGAGCACTGCCGGGGCCATGGGTGAGGCAGGATGTCACACTCTGCCATGTCCCCGCGTGCCCCTTGCTGCCCGGCGCAGCAGCGGTTGCTCACGGGCCTCTCTCCAGGGCTGGGCTGGAGGGGGAGGCAGCGGAGAGCGGGGCCAGCTCTTCTACGTGGGGCCAGGACCCTCGCAGGCTTGGTCAGAGGCTTTCCTCAGACGCTATCCTCTGGCGCGGCCGCCGCAGCCCTCCCCTGCCAGATGCCATGGCATCTCTCCACGTCCTTTGTTCCCTCCCTTGCTTACGCATCTCCGTTGATTTATGGCCGTTGCAGAGCAGCCTGACCGCAGCTCAGCTGCTTGCCCAGACCCCGGCCGGGCTGTGTGCCCTCGCCCCTGGCCTGCCGGGCAGGGAGAGTTTTGGGGAGAGATCCAAGCCCCCCTGCAGTAGGGCCCCCCTGCATTTAAACACGTGCATGGCCTTTTCTTTCACCTCCTTCCAGCCTGGGTGTGAATGAAGTGCTTTCAGGGGGAGGAGATT